CGTGCGGTGGCCTGCGCGGGCAGTCAGCGCCAAAGAGTCACAAATCGGGATAGGGGCCGCGGGCGCCGCCAATACATATGCAACAGATCAAAGCAGGACTGGGGAATCGATACCCAGGGTCCCCTGAGAGGGGGAGAGAGAGAGGGGGAGAGAGAGAGGGAAAGAGATACATGTAACAGAGGAAGGGAGAGAGAGAGAGAGAGGGGGGGGGGGGGGAGGGGGTAGGGAGTGAGAGGACAGAACATGGGAAGAGGAAGGGGAAGAAAGACTCTAATTCTAGAGTATTTTCTTTTAACGACTGAGTACGCACTTTCATAATACATGTACTACATCTATCCCTTTATTGTCATCTTCGGTTGAAAATGACCAATAAGAGAAGAGAGATGATTAAGGTGAAGTTCAAGGATCATAATGTTATAATAAACAACAGTAGTGTGGTTTCTGGGTTCTTCAAATATTGTTTTTATTTTATTTTTACTTCAAGTTTCACCAGGGCACACAGGTTAACATGCCAGACAAAGATCTTGCTTTAACGTCCAGAACTTAAACTGGTAAATGCATCTATCAACAAAGAAATACATGTAAGATTAATTTTAGTTATCTTTTACGTTGTTCTCGTATTATAAAATTGAACGCTCGGGGACTTCTTGCTTTAAAGGTGTGTCATCGTGGATCTGAAATCAATCTTTTCGAGATAAGCGTAATCTATAATATGAACGAGATCATGCCATTATTTTTGTGCCGTGTGTTAATGTTAAAATACTCAGAACGTTGTATTCTCATCGGGGATAGAGTTAGCCAATTATTGGACCCTGGTCGAAGGAGCTGAAGTTTCCGTTGGTGGAGTTACCGGCGATGATGACTGAAGAGTTTCCACCTGTGAAGTTTCCACCTGAAGGGTTGATGACAAAAACAGGAAAGTTTCCACTTGTGGAGTTTCCACCTGTAGAGTTTCCACTTGAAGAGTTGCCGGCAAAGATAGAGTAGTTTCCATTTGTTGAGTTCCCACCTGTGAAGTTTCCACCAGTGAAGTTTCCACCAGTCAAGTTTCCACTTGAAGAGTTGCCAGCAAAGACAGAATAGTTTCCACTTGTGGCATTTCCACCTGTGAAGTTTCCACTTGAAGAGTTGCCAGCAAAGACAGAATAGTTTCCATTTGTTGAGTTTCCACCTGTGAAGTTTCCACTTGAAGAGTTGCCAGCAAAGACAGAATAGTTTCCATTTGTTGAGTTTCCACCTGTGAAATTTCCACTTGAAGAGTTGCCAGCAAAGACAGAATAGTTTCCACCTGTGAAGTTTCCACCTGTGAAGTTTCCACTTGAAGAGTTGCCAGCAAAGACAGAATAGTTTCCACCTGTGAAGTTTCCACTTGAAGAGTTGCCAGCAAAGACAGAATAGTTTCCACCTGTGAAGTTTCCACTGGTAAGGTTTCCACTTGAAGAGTTGCCAGCAAAGACGGAATAGTTTCCACTTGTTGCATTTCCACCTGTGAAGTTTCCACTTGAAGAGTTGCCAGCAAAGACGGAATAGTTTCCATTTGTTGCATTTCCACCTGTGAAGTTTCCACTTGAAGAGTTGCCAGCAAAGACGGAATAGTTTCCACTTGTTGCATTTCCACCTGTGAAGTTTCCACTTGAAGAGTTGCCAGCAAAGACGGAATAGTTTCCACTTGTTGCATTTCCACCTGTGAAGTTTCCACTTGAAGAGTTGCCAGCAAAGACAGAATAGTTTCCATTTGTTGAGTTTCCACCTGTGAAATTTCCACTTGAAGAGTTTCCAGCAAAGACAGAATAGTTTCCACCTGTGAAGATTCCACCTGTGAGGTTTCCACTTGAAGAGTTGCCAGCAAAGACGGAATAGTTTCCACCTGTGAAGTTTCCACCTGTGAAGTTTCCACTTGAAGAGTTGCCAGCAAAGACGGAATAGTTTCCACCTGTGAAGTTTCCACCTGTGAGGTTTCCACTTGAAGAGTTGCCAGCAAAGACAGAATAGTTTCCATTTGTTGAGTTTCCACCTGTGAAATTTCCACTTGAAGAGTTTCGAGCAAAGACGGAATAGTTTCCATTTGTTGCATTTCCACCTGTGAAATTTCCACTTGAAGAGTTACCAGCAAAGACAGAATAGTTTCCACCTGTGAGGTTTCCACTTGAAGAGTTGCCAGCAAAGACGGAATAGTTTCCACTTGTTGCATTTCCACCTGTGAAGTTTCCACTTGAAGAGTTACCAGCAAAGACAGAATAGTTTCCACCTGTGAGGTTTCCACTTGAAGAGTTACCAGCAAAGACGGAATAGTTTCCACCTGTGAAGTTTCCACCTGTGAGGTTTCCACTTGAAGAGTTGCCAGGAAAGGCAGAATAGTTTCCATTTGTTGAGTTTCCACCTGTGAAGTTTCCACTTGAAGAGTTGCCAGCAAAGACAGAATAGTTTCCACTTGTGACGTTTACACCTGTGGAAGCGATAAAATTTCAGTAAGTATCTATCTATCTATCTTTCTATCTATCTATCTATCTATCTATCTATCTATCTATCTATCTATCTATCTATCTATAATCTATAATAGTCATTATTATTATTATAGTTCGTCCGCCATTGTCTGACGATAACCAATGCTTCTGTGAGGAAATACTTGTAAAATCACCTTGGAGAATTAAGGGTCAAAATGTCTTTGGGATTCTACTATGAACGATGAGATGAGACCAATTCTGGCAGAGAGAAGTTTGACACATTTTTAGCATGTAAAACAAATTAAAAACTTCATTTGCACTTGCTGATGTGTGTAGCTTGCGGACTTCTCTAGTGGTTTCAGCATTTCTTTCTGACTTCGTGAAGCCTCACGTGACTTCCCTCTTTGAAAAATTATCTCTTTTGTACTGTGGGGAAATTATTCTAAGACGTTCCTTATCTTTTGCAAGGCTATTGATGAGTAGATTCTACAAGAAAATATACTTAACGCTTCGTAAAGCCCCTCACAATTATCCACTGTAGTTTGCTTACTGTCCATCCTAAAAAAACTGACAGTTGAAATTGTGAGGAACGAAAGATCAGAATAAAATATAGCACTAGAAAAAGGTAAGAAGTCAATGGAAAATTAGGAATCATATAGAAATTGGATTGGAAACTAATATCACCCACCAAGATGAAATTCAAAAGGAAAGAGGAAGAAAGGAAGACCTTAACGTACTTGGAGGAGGGTCTTTGCTTTAGACCTAAAGGAGACGGGATACAGGTGGACAGAGTTGGAGACAATAACCCAGGACAGAAGTAGGCTACATGGAGAGTTCTTGTCTGTGGCTGATACTCAGGTCATACTTTCTCTCCCAGGATCAGGGTATAGTCCGCGAACACTTTCCTTCTTTTCCTATCCTGGGCTAGTTATACTACGGTGCGAGGTGAGAAAGACTCATGAAGATATTATGATGATAGGATAAAGCAGTCTACTTACCCGTGGTGGCATTGAGGGGTCGTGGGAAAGCTTCAGAGAAGCCTACAGCGATGCAAAGCATCACGGCCAGAACGGACATAGTCTTCAGTAGAGATGCCATGGTGGGAAACAGTCTGTCAGAGAACGATGAGAACTTTTCTGTACTTTTATCCGGTGTACCGTGGTGGTGACGTCACGTGTGGCGCTCCTGACTGCAAGTTGCAAGTGAAAAGCTTGAGGTACCAAGTGCTTTATATATACACTTTTCTAAGCTAAAAATCGAGAGAATTACTCAGCCCCTATAGGTCTGCTGGCTCAGCAACAAGGCTGGTCCTCATGAGGAAGGAGTGCCTGGTGTAAACAAAGAGCAGTTGGGCGAGATGGCGACAACGCCACGCCTTCAAGTTGTAATATAAAAATCTGAACGTGAGAGACTGATAATAGAATGCATATGTATTCTTAAGTTTTCTTAAAGGCATGTTTCGATTAGAATGCAAAAAAGACAGAACTGTTTACGTTGGTGTGGCTAAAGGTTAACACCCTGCAGGTAACGAATCCCCAGCTAGTACACAGGATTCAGGAGACATTTTCCCAGGAAAAGTTGAGACAAATAATTTGACCGCTATGTCCAGATTCGAGCCTTGAACGTGCGTGAGTCAATATAATTCCGTGAAACGCTACACAACTTCTGGCAGAAGTTTAGATGTAAAAGAAAAACAACTCTGTAGGCTCTACTACTATTATTTAAAATTACTTTTCCTGAAGTAGGGGACCTCATGAAGCATTTTTGAATACAAAATTTGATATGGCATTTGCGTGGAGTGCGATTTATGTTTAAAAATGTCACGATGTCAGCTTCATTCCCTAAATTATTTTAAATTACATTGAAATCACTCGGTAATTGTTAATGCCACGGTTCAGTTAATGTAATTCTCATTGCTGCATTATATCACTGAGACAAACAATGTCTTCGTTTTAACTGAAAATGTTCAACGCCCCTAACAATACGAATCAGGTTGTTCCCCCCAAAAAAATTACCGATAAAGTCTACTCTGTAGTCCTTGATATTTGTCTTAATAAAATCAAAATATCTATCTCCCCATTTTCTCTCTTTCTCTCTCTCACTTTCTGTCTCTCCCTCCCTCCCT